TTTTTTCACTATTATAATATTCTTGAAAACGGAGCAAGCTAATGATCGGAAATTTTGCATATAAGTTATTAGTATAGATCTACATCAAATGGAGAAATAATCTCAAAAAATTATTTCCAGTCCCGTCATGTCAAAAAACCTTAGTGGAGTCCCTTTAATAGGTTTTTGCTACCGTTTTATATTGAAAATACAGTGCGGTAAATGGAGATCAAGGTCTCTAACCTAAGATATAACAAATAATAGAAAGTAATAATTAAAAAAAGAATATAATTAGAAAGTATCATGAATAAAGTAATATTCTTAATTAACAAAAAAGTTTTACTATTTCCTAGTTACTGTAGGACAAAAGCGCTGTTGTAAAATGCATGTAATTGTTTCTTTGAACAGCTTTCAGCGTTATTCGTTCTTACCGATAAAATTGCTGTCGATGTTATCATTAAAAAGAGGAGAACAGCTGATAACGTTACTAAAATTTTAATGACACACAAACTTTAATACCTTATAACTTTAACAGAAAAGCGTTTTCGAAGGTATGGTTTGGAATGTTTAATGACGAAATGTTGACGTTAACGAATCGTATGAAAAAAGGATTAATTATCATGAGAAAATATATGTTTTTGTGACTTCAAACTAAAAAATACCGCATCTCATCGGATAGTGTGATTATTTTCAGTCGAAATTCATGTGAAGTAAAGCTTGCACAGGGCCAAAAATTTGTTAGCATGATCCTTTGGATGTTGACTATGAATCCATAACATTGATTTACTCGAAAACAGTTGGGATATGTTAAAAATAGATGAATACTTACCGTACGTCAATTGTATTCCCCGCGCCGACATGTATATCCTGGTACAGCTGTGGACGCTGGAACAGCTGTCTGCCCATTTGATTGTACGGTGTGTTGCTCCCCTTTAGGTGTCGTCCCTAAGAAAGACCCTAACTCCTTTCGACTCATACATGATCTATCTTACCCCTCATGGGGATCCTCAGTTAACTCATTTATTCCCAAAGATAATTCAGAGGTTTGTTTAGAACTATTTGATGATGTAGCTAAATTGGTCCTATCTTCGGGTTACAATTGTGAAATTGCTAAGGCTGATATTGAAGATGCATACAGAGTTATCCCTATGTCTCCTTTAGATTTCAGGAAATTGGGGTTTTCATTTGACAATAAATTTTATTTTGATACAGCACTACCTATGGGAGCTTCTTCCTCGGTAGCTATATTTGAAAAATTTTCATGTTCTTTACAGTGGATTTTGAAAACAAAATGTGAAGTACAAAAAGTATCACACATTATAGACGATTTCATTTTTGTGGGTTCTGCTGATACTGGGGAATGTTTAAACTCATTGAATAAATTCATGTCACTGGCAAAAGACTTGAATTTACCAATCAAACATGCTAAAACGGTATTACCTTCTACCTGTGTAGAAGTACATGGTATTATGATTGATACCAAGTCAATGATCGCCAAACTTCCTCAGAACAAAGTTCAAGCCCTAAGATCCTTACTTAACATGTACAGGAAACAAAAGAAAGTCACTCTAAGGGAATTGCAATCATTATTAGGTCATTTAAACTTTGCTTGTAGAGTCATTAAACCGGGTCGTTGTTTCTTACGACGTCTATATGATAAAACTATGGGCATAAATAGTAAACATCACTACATCAAATTGAATAATGATTGCAGGGCTGATATTCAATTGTGGCATGAATTCATTCATGATTACAATGGTTGCACTCTTCTTACCGGGGACAGATTTATATCAAATCAAACTATGAATCTATTCACAGATTCAGCCGGTTCTAAAGGCTTCGGAATTGTTTACTCAAATGAATGGACATTTGGCTGTTTTCCACTTCAAATCCAACAGCTCCATATCAATATCTTAGAGCTCTATCCAATAGCATTAGCAGTTGTAATGTTTGGTCATTTATGGTCAGGAACGAATGTCTTGTTTATAAGTGACAACTTGTCTGTAGTCTACTGTTTCTTTAGGGATTCTATATTTATCTATTTTCTAAAGACAAAATAATGATGAAACTGATCAGATTTATAGTTTTAAAGGCCCTCAAATACAACTTCTGTTTTAAATCAAAACATATTAGTTCATCTAGTAATATAATCTGTGATAAATTATCTCGATTACAGGTCAAAGAAGCCCTTCAACTCGCTCCTCATCTAAACAAATGCCCAGCAGCCATTCCAAACACAAATAAGTGACAATTGTTTTGTTAATATGTATTTGCTTATTGTGTCATTGGGGTGTGACACAAATATCTTGATGCTGGTTTTGTAACATTTTCTAATTATTTACAACTATATACATACTCAAAATATTGCTAGTCAAAATGAAATCCATTGCAATGCTTCTTCATTTGCTCCTTATTGAGCCGAAGATCTGTAATTTTGTATTTACTTTTATTGCTTTTTATATTTATGTATTGTAAAATATGATAAACAAGATCGACAAGGAAAGGCGGCATTCAATGAACGCAGCCCCCACCCGAACCAGCAACAAGCGCCAGCGGCAAGGAGCCCAGGAGGACCCCAAAGAAAAACAGGACAGGGCAAAGTTTTACTATCATAACTAGTCAACATAACTCTAGTCTGACAATTTGTCTCACTATTATTCCAGTAAATAAAATCACATATTTTTGTCTAACATCGTTTTAATAAACCTCATAATAATTTATCTAGTCGAAAGTGTTTTAATAATAGACCTGCTAGCGGCAGGGTCTACCCCTGTTAACTTCTATATTGTAAGTTTTTTACTTTCAAGCACTTGCTCATGTGACAAGTTTTACCCTTAAAAATAATACAGTTGTTAATACCCATTTTGTTGTAAATAGCTTTGTTATAACTGTAAATATGTTTCTTTCTCATGTTTTTTATACATATATATATATATATATATATATATATATATATATATATATATATATATATATATATTAGTTACACATTATGACTACATATATGTAACCTGATAGGAATTCCAAATTGTTCCACATTAGTGTTCTCTACTATGATTTGCTTGATCATACTCGTGTAGAATTGTTATAACTTTCTCTAGAACTTGCTGTAACATATATTTGTTTTCTTTTGGTGGTTTGGGAAAGTGGTAGGCATCTATACAATTTAAATTTCTTTGTCGTCTAAATTTGCGCCTGTCAAGTCTCTTTGGTTGGACCAGTGGTGGACGAATTGCTGTCCAACTTTATGTCATGTTTTTTACTTATATAAGCTTTATATGCCTTTCTTTCTTGTTTTTTAAATAAACAGTCCAGTGCCCTCTGGGCCTGGACATTTTCATCCAATTTGGTATTTGTTCTACTTTATCTTGACATAAATAAACTGCTGAGTCTTGCCAGGTGCAAACATAAAATTATACTTTATATAGTGGAACAGTATAAAGTGATTTATGTTTGTACAGTTTCATCTTATTTTACATCTTAGCACATTTAAGGCATTTCTGGTGTTTAAACACTTTTGGGTGTAATTCTATCTTTCGGATCATAGAAAATTTTTCACCACTAGGTGTCGCACGCAAAATTTTTATCTGAAATTTTTTTCACTCTACCGCTACCACCCCACCACAACTCCTTGCCTAGTTTTAATAGTGTTTGTTTTACTACATGTTACTTTTATATGTACAGGACGAATTGCTGTCCAACTTTATGTCATGTTTTTTACTTATATAAGCTTTATATGCCTTTCTTTCTTGTTTTTTAAATAAACAGTCCAGTGCCCTCTGGGCCTGGACATTTTCATCCAATTTGGTATTTGTTCTACTTTATCTTGACATAAATAAACTGCTGAGTCTTGCCAGGTGCAAACATAAAAACATTTACAACCATAATCTTGCTGGTAAATATTAAAAAAGACAACAACAAACAAACATGTCCTTGAAGCTGAATCTTACTCAGTAGACATTAAGGCTGCAATATTCATAATAGATTATGTTTTACAACTTGGAATATTGTATCTGGAAAAGGTATTCATTATATTATTAATCATATGGAATGATATATGTTGAGTCACTACATTTTAGAGTACAGTGATTTCTACTAGAAAATGTAGAATTGCCTCAAGGTGAGATAATTCACTTTGTACATATTATAGTTCATGAAATTTGAGTAATAGTGAAAAGCAGAATCCCTAAAGAAAGCCCAACACGTCAAAATTGTAAAATGTTGCAGGCTCGATTTGATTGAGCCTGTTCATGGACGGTAAAACCCAGTTCAAAAATATTTACAATAGAGCAAATTTAAAACACAGTCATTTTTTATGTTGTAATGTTTCATTTTTATGTTGCAGTGTTTTTGTATGCATTGCTTCTGCGATTGATCAAACAATACGAATCCTATTTGAGTATTTTGTCAATTGTAAAACAAAAATTATATTTCTTCTAAAAGTTAACATTAATGTGAATAATCTGTTCCTTAGGAATTTCTATTTTTTACACTTCATGTCTCTATTACAATGACAAATTGATTAATTTTCATACCTGTTTAAATAGAAATATATTAGATAGTTAGATAGAAAACAGATAGATAGATAATAGATAGATGGATGGGTGGATGGATGGAACTATATAGGTAGGGTAGGGTAGGTAGAGGTGTTTGTTTGTTTGTTTGGATTTTTACGGCACGTCAACACATAACTGGCCATATCGTGTCGAATGCTATAATAGGCTTAAAAAATATTATGTAAAACATTGTAAATGACAATAGAAATGAGCCAATTAGATCCTAGAATACAAGTTTATCTCTTTTAAATAATCAATTATGTTTTTTGATGGAATTGTATTAAAAAGTTCTTTGAGTGAATTTACAGAATAAAATCTATTACGGGCCTGTGAAAAATCATGACATTCAAGAAGAAAATGCTTGACAGTAAAATTTTCATTACAACCTACACAGAAAGGGGCATTGTCATTTGTGAGGAGATAAGAGTGGGTAATTTTAGTGTGTCCAATTCGGCATCGAAGAAGAACTGTTTGATCACGGCGGTTTTGACAGAGATAGAGATGGTGACATATCAAGAGATGGGTTTATATCGTGAAGTTTATTAAAAACGACATTGTCCCAATTTGCTTTCCATTCAGATGATACGAGTTTATTTATAGCCGGTCTAAAATCACAAGCAGGTAACAATAAGTCAGTTTTTTGAAAATTTAAGGATTGTTTAGCTAAAGCATCTACTTTTTCATTTCCTCGTATTCCTACATGGCTTGGAATCCAATATAATTTAACATATTTTGTTTTTAGTATATCATGAAATCGCAAAAGAAGTTTCTTTACCATGATATTGTCAGATTTTTTATTTTTAATGGATATTAAAACAGAAAGCGAGTCAGAAAATATCACAAATTTATCGTGGGTATGCTGTGCTATGTATGACAATGCTAAATCGATAGCTTTTGCTTCAGCAGTAAAAATTGATGCATTATCTGGTAACCTCATACTAGATGTAAAATTATTTTCAAACACAGCCGCACCTACTTTGCAACCTTCTTTTGAACCGTCCGTATAAGTATGTATAAAATCTTCATGTTCTTCCTTAATTGCTAGAAACTTCTCTTTGAAATATTCAGGTGAATTTGATGCCTTTTTTATATTTGAAAGGTTAATATTTATTTCCGGGGGATTATAAGTCCAAGGTGGAACATCCTCATCGTCATTTTGAAGGATACTGTCTGGATTAATTTTAAGTTTATCTAAATCATCTTTTAAACGAAGGCCTAATGGTTTAAT